GGACATCCAGGCAAGGTTGGGTCCTCCCCCTCCTGGACCTCCCCCTCCTTTGTGATGGGACAGCAGAGGAGCCAAGGTCTACCCGAGGCCCCTGATCCCGGGCCAGACACTGCTGCATGTTCCTGCCTTCTCCCCGGCAGCATACATGTCAGGACCCGACCCCCAAGGCCCCGCCCAGATCCCCACGTGGGGCTAGCCACCCCAAGCCCCCAGGCCCCCACCCAGACCCGCCCAGGGGCAATGCAGCCGCCAGGCAGTGACCCATGGCTGCCGCCAAGACCTCCAAGGGGCCCCACTCACAACCGCCAGTAGTCCACCCCCTGAGGCAACCCAAGCACCTCCAGAGGGGGGCAACGGCCCCCCAGTCCCAGACACCCCCAGTGAACCCACCTCCAGGGAACGTCCAGATTCTCCAAACTCAGATCCTCCACCCCCTCACCCACATCATCCTACAGGACAATATCAATGCTCCCCCGGCATCGCTATGTGATGGAACCGATCAAAGGAGCCCAGAGAGATTGATTTGAAGTGGAAGCAGATGCTAAATCAAGTGTAATATGATCTAACAAAATATTTCTATACTGGTTGATGCAGAGAGTTTCTCTATTTTTTCAATTCAAGAGGATAGTTTCCTTAGCGATGCAGATGGCAGTCAGAACCACGTGAACCAAAGATGTTTCAATCGGGACATCGTCCAGGTTTCCCAGTAAACAAAGAGAGGGGGTGGTTGGGATATGACATTTCAGACACTTTGACAGGTCTTCACATACTCTACCCCAAAATTTCTGGACAGGTGGACAGGACCACAGTGCATGAATGTAATTGTCAGGAATGTTGTTTGTGCAGTGTGTACAGGTGTCAGACAACACAAACCCCATTTTGAACATCTGATGACCTGTATAGTGTACTCTGTGTAGAATTTTGTACTGAATTAATTGTAAATGGGAGTGTCTGATCATTTTAAAAGTTTTAAACAAGTTTGGGACCAGAAGATCTGGTCAACGCTGACTGATAGATCCACCTCCCATTTTTCAATAGGGATTGCTATTCTATCGTCTATTTTGGACAGTGTCTTATATACTTTAGACAGTAGTTTGGGGGGGTTGAGATTATACAAGTCTAATACCCTTGGTGGTGTTTGTAATTCTATTTTATTGAGCTTAAATTTTCGCTTGACTACAGATTTAATTTGGTGGTATTCTAAAAAGCTATTCTTATCTATTCCAAATTGGGAGACTATTCTATTAAATGGGATGAAGTCCAATCCTTCATGTATGTGTTCCAGGTATAGGATTCCTTTATTTTTCCAGTCCGGAAGGTTCATCATTTTATTATTTTGATAAATATCAGGATTATTCCAGATAGGTGTACGTCTGCATGGTACTAGTGAAGACTCTGTCATTTTAAGATACTCCCACCATGCTGTCAGAGAGGTGCTGATACATATACTTTTGAAGCCTTCATGTTTTCTTATGCTTGAGCTAATAAATGGTAAGTCTGAAAGCTCTATGGTATTGCAAAGTGTCTGTTCTATATCTAACCAGGACTCGTCTAGTGGGTTATCTTGCAACTATCTTGGTATATATTGCAGCCTGTTGGCTAAGAAATAATAATAAAAGTTGGGTAGATCCAGTCCTCTGTCTTTGGTCTTCTGAAGCGTTTTTAAGCTAATTCGTGAAGGTTTATGCTGTCAAAGTAATTTAGTAATTGAGGAGTCCAGAAATCTAAACCAGTCAGCTGGTGGTTTGTTTGGGATCATTGAAAATAAGTAATTTATTCTGGGTAAGACCATCATTTTAATTGTAGCAACCCTCCCCATGAGTGATATCGGTAAGGATTTCCATCTTGCAAGATCATCTTCCACTTTCTTTAAAAGTGGGATGTAGTTAGTTTGGTTAGATCTGCTAACTTGGGAGATATTAATTCCCAGGTATGTGATATTCCCTGACTCCAATTGTGTATTAAGTAAATTGACAAAAGAGAAATTAATTGGTAGAACTGTGGATTTTAACCAGTTTATAGAGTAATTTGAAACTTTTGAAAAAGAGTTTATCAGTTCTATTGAATGAGAGAGAGATGATTGAGAATTCCGGAGAAAGAGTAAAACGTCATCTGCACAAAGACTGATCTTATGTTCTATTTTCTTACACTTTATCCCTTTAATACCTGTTGTTTGCCTAATTGCTGCTGCTAGTGGTTCAATAAAGATAGCAAACAGTGAGGGGGAGAGTGGGCATCCCTGCCTGGTCCCCTCTGAAGACGGAAGCTAGCTGATATTTGGTCGTTCGTCCTGACACGTGCTGTTGGTGAACTGTATAATGTTTGTAGCATGTTCATGAAGAAGTTCCCAAACCCAAATTTATGTAAAGTTGCAAATAAGAACTTCCAGTTAACTCTTATCAAAAGCCTTTTCTGCATCTAGAGATAATATACCAGTTTCTATGTTTCTACTGTAAGAGAAATCTATCAAATTAAGTAATCTACGTGAGTTTGTGGATGACTGTCTACCCTTGATGAAACTAGTTTGGTCAGGTTGTATTATGAAGGGGGTTACCTTTTCTAATCTTTTTGCCAGGGCTTTACAAATTATTTTGAGATCAACATTACCATTAATGTAAAAAAAGAAACAAAATAAATTATGTTCACATCCAGAATCGAACTTGGGTCTTCCGCACGGGAGTCCGACAACGTACTGGATGTGCTATATTATCAGTGACATCTTTTGTATCTGTAATATTTATATTCCTGATGACAGCTGAAACAACATTCAAAGAACGGTTCGGAGCGAAAACGGCTATTTTGTTGCTAATTTGCAGGAAATATCTAGAAGAAAGTAGCTACGGGTCCTCAGAAATGTAGCTAGGTTCATGACTAGGCGTTAGTAGTAGTTGGCACTACCTCACTCCCTGCTGCTAAAGCTACTGATAGCAAATGCTACGGGCTATGCCTGAGCGTGAACGCGCATGAAGCAGCCTGCTCGACCTGAGCAGCTCTCTTTTTCTGTGATTTTACAGAAAAACAGGCAATCACAGTAAAAATGCCAGGGCTCATTCTACAGGACCAGAGCATTGCAGGAGAATGTATGAAGAAGAAATTTATTATTTCTATACATGTTTTGGCTGTCAAACTTCCATGATGCCCCTTTAAAATTTAAATATTCTGCTTAAAACTGTCAGTGTTGCACCGTCGTCAGGTAAAAACTCAGCACTGCATTTGAATTTAAATCTGCTGTCGCTATTGGCTAAGAGGTACACTATGATGTTAGATGGTACATCATGATGTCACAATGTCGTGAGTGTGTGTATTTGTTAGCGGCTCCACCCTCTGGGTCTGCTAGGCAACAGCATTTGTTGCATTTTTCAAACAGGAAGTGGGAGTTGAGAAAGAATCTGGTAGGCGGTGACTTGCTTTTTAATATTTAGTTTCAACAAGCTGACCAGCATGTCCAGCAACATATTAATGTTACAATTAAACAGTTTAACTTATTATTTATTGTATTTAATTTTATTTATTTATTTTATTCAATTTACGTTTTTTTTTTTCGATTCTCTCTCCCATTCAATTAATAAGAATAGCAATAAGTGCAAATGGAAGGCACCTAAAAGCCAGTTTTGTTTTTTATGTAATCACAAGCAAGACAAATGTAACCCTCATTTCTGAGATGAATAACGAATAAATGCACACCCTCTTGGAATAAAAGTGCCACGCTCCACGTCCGTTGTCCGTTGCAGCAAACCCAAACCAGTTCCAAACAACTGATGATTTCATTCTTTCTTAGGAACAAACTTCCCACTCTCACCGGTGGCCATTGCTGTTGCTGTTTCGTGTGCGTGCTGTGTTGTCGTGGTTATGTGAAACTAACGCTACGGAAGCTCCAGAGGGCCAAAAAGCCGCTATTACATAAAATTTGATTTACTTTTATTTAAATCGCCAGCAACAAAGAATTCAAATTAATTCATTACATCAATTTATCGCTGAGGTCTACTTAAAGTAAGAACACTTTGCCTGCCACATACTGGTTCTGCTGCTGGCCTGTGACCCACAAACACTGATTATGGTGTCCAGGCTGCAGCACCCGATATGTCATCTGACAAGGACCGATTGATTCTGTTGTGAGTTTGCAGGAAAGGTTTATTTATCATTACACAAATCTGTGCAGATTTTACAACCCAGTAGAACAGTACACCACCACCACCCTCTGCAGTAGTTTACAACATTTCTGCTGATCAAAAATGTTTTAATTCTGAGTAATCCTACAAACAGATTAATCTGTGTAATCTTCAGGCCTCAACCAGATCCTACTTTATTTTTTAAATAATTTGCTTATTTGCACATTGAGTAAGATAGCTACCATCTTTCTTTTGATTTCTGGGTGGTGGTATCTTTAGTTTTTAGAATAGTAGGCATCTTTTAGAGGAGCCATTGCCTGTTTATTGTTTGCAAATAAGTGGTTGAGTCAGAGTGTTAAAGAGTCTTACAGTTCTGTGCTTTTGACTGAACGATGACTGAACACGCCTCAACCCTAGCAGTTGTACGACACTCATGCTCCTTTCAATGTTTTTTACAAATAAAAAAAAATATATACATATATGCTGATGTTTGGAAGAAAAGGTTTATTTTGAGATTTTTGACTCAGGAAAACCTTTGCATGGCACTGTTCTAGCATAATGGTTATTGCATGGTTATTTCATGGGTAATTATTGCTTTCCACCAGAGTGTGGTGTCCTCCACCTAAATCATTTAAACTGTTTATTTTAAGTACACACTTTCAACTATAAACATGGCAGATCCACAGTGAGAGATCTGCAGGCCTGCTTAAACCGAGTGCTCTTGACATTTGAGTGTCATACACAGTCTGAACTAAAGATGGCTGTGTGAAAACACCTCTGTATAAAACTTTGCATATGTTCTATTACACTTGTGCTCGTGTCTCTCAGCCATGATGTCTCCTGATGACTGTGTCCCACCCTTCACCTTGATGCTGTGTCTTCATTCGGCAGGGAGCCGAGGAAGGTGGTGTTGCACAAGGGCTCCACCGGTCTGGGCTTCAACATCGTCGGAGGGGAGGACGGAGAGGGGATTTTTGTGTCCTTCATCCTGGCTGGAGGGCCGGCAGATCTGAGCGGCGAGCTGAGGAGGGGCGACCGGATTCTCTCAGTCAGTATTCCCACCTCTAGCTTCCCGTTTCCCCACCATGTTAACAAGTTAGATGCAGTGAGATCTCCAGCCAACTCCTGCTGTCAGAATAATGATGGCCCATAGAATACCTGCCCACGCAGAAATGTCCTTGAGCAAGACATTAAATCCAAAACAACTCTGAGGAGCTAAAGCTACACTCTACCCAGAATTACTTAAATGTCTATTTTAATGCTGCTTGTTGTCTAAAACTGTTTGTGATGTAAAAAGATACCAAAAAACAACACAGGTCACAGTTGATTCTATGTTCTCATAATAATGGCAGATCTTACTCAGAAAGGTACAGCGACAACACTGATTTTCTGTGCAGAGCTCAGCTGAAATTATTTCTTTTTCTCTAAAATTGTCTGATTGTTTGCAGGTGAACGGCGTGAACCTTAGGAATGCCACACATGAGCAGGCGGCTGCAGCGCTGAAAAGAGCTGGACAGACTGTCACCATCATTGCTCAGTACAGGCCTGAAGGTAAGGCCCTGCTGCCTCTTGGCATTAACTCAGACCTTTATATCAGTCCTGTTGAGTAGTTTTGTTGCTCAAACTAATTTAACCAGTCCATTTTCCAAAATGAGCCTTGTTCCAAACGTTTTTCCTTTTTTTGACCCCACCAGTCGCCCTCTGAGTACTCATTTAGTGTGCTGCAACACATAATTGAGTCATTCTTGTGTTTGTGATACTTTTAGTTAAGAATTAGCTGAAACAAGATTTTCACAGCACGTTTTGACAGCATTGCTAATAATAAAAAAACATTAGTGGTGGTAATTCTTCATCAGGTTCAGAGTTAATCATTAAAGCTAAAACATCAAGTGAATTTGAGGTTTCAGGAGCCCCTCTAACCCCGGCTTTCCACGGGAGCCGTCAGCAGCACGTTACTGCAGCAGCACGTCTTGCTCGCGTAAGCTGCTGCTTGGCCCTTCCCACGAGACGCGAAGCAGCAGGGGAGCAGCTGTCACCGACAGAGCACGAAGTCACACGAGTGACTTCGTCAGTAAACACAACAAGCAGGAGAAAACTACAACATGGTTTGTGTTTTATGTTCTGTCCGTTTTATAATCACCAATACGGACCTGAAAAACAAAGGAGACCGCTAGCTACGTGATAACTTCTCACGGGGCCGCACAGTTAGTAACGTTTTTTAAAAGTAAAGCAACCGGAAGGCAGCACGTTCTTTATTCTGAAAATCTCAGGAGCTTCTCTCCATTTCCGCGTCCGATTTCCTGTCTTTCCTTCCCCCAAAATGTCGAACTTGACCCGTTTCAGAGGCGTCGCGCGTAGAAAATAGAACCGGCGCCTAAAGGCCGCGACATGCTGCTCCTGAGACGCGGCCGACTCGCGCTGCCGACGGCTCCAGTGGAAAAGGTTCTGTTGACCACAGCGGTTCCTATCAGCAGCTATGATGTGCTGCTGCAGTAACATGCTGCTGACGGCTCCTGTGGAAAGCAGGGGTAAGACTCTTGTTTTGGTGACATGTCAAAGCTACCTGGAATATTATTTTGATCTCAGAAGGAAAAAATTATAGTTGATACTTTAAATGATTTACCGAATGAGTCAAAAGAAAAGGATTCAAATTTGCACATATTTTTGTCCTTTGTCCATTTTCCAAACCTCCACTGATTTATCCTTAACTCACCTGGAAATTGAAAACAAACATGTTTTATTATGCAGTTTTGCACCTGACAATGACGGAGAAGCTGTTCTCGGGTGTTTTCTTTGCCTTTCTGCTGCTGTAGTGCATCACTGTTTAATAAGTCTAGAAGGGCTGTCACCGTCCGTGACTAAGTTTGTGTGACTTTTTCTTAATTTTCACATGCATGTCAGAAATATGTCTGAGAAATTACAATACAAATCTTTGAAAAGTAGTACCTGCTAGTCGTCTGACTGCTTTATGTAAAGAGCAAAAATCCAAGATTTCAACTTGTGCACAGGTTCCTGTTATGATATTTTTGGGAATTTGAACTTTAGTTTTTGTTTAGGAAATGGTTCTCAAAGTTTCCAGCTTTCAGCCTACATAAATGCATTGGTGGCTACTTGTGCAGGTTTTAGTAATCTATCAATGGTAATAGGCCCAGTAAATAGCCCAACCATTATACTATAAACAGTGACTATACTTTTTATCCAGCTGCTGTTTTATCTCTTACCTGTTGTAGAGGGCTCTTGGAACTACCCAAATGTGGATAAACAGACATTGGTTTTGATGGAACTGGCAAGCAAACAGTTACTACACTGGGTTTAAAAACATTGCAGACTCAAGTCTTTCACCATCAGCCTAAGTCAATAGACAGAGAAACTCTTTGATTAGAAAAGCTAGTCTGGTACATGTCACATTGTCAAATTAGCATTAATGGACTCACCCATCTTGGTTTGTGACAGGGAAGGCTGTGTTGATGTAGCGTCCAGGAGAGAGCAGAGTGTGTCCCTAGTAGAAGCTATCCATTGGGTATAGCAACTCCACAACATGTCAGAACACATTTGGGCTTGTGTTATTTGTGGGCAAAACACATCATCAATGCGTTTTTTTTTTCACCCAAGAAAGTAGAAGGCAGCAGAAGAGTTGCATTCCTGTTGGCCAATCAGATGTTATATATTTGCATATCATGGATATTAATGATCAAGACTCCAAATCCTGGCATCTTCCACTCTCTACTCCAACTTTTCATTTCTGCTGCAGATAGCCACAGTCTTCTGTGGACAAAAACATGAAATGTGACATTTACACTGGTATAAATGTTTATTAAATAATGTTTGCACAAACTGCTGTGAACATCATTAATATGAGTGTTTTAGGAGAGCAGAAATAAATTATAACTGGCCCCATTCACAAGTCCATCTATTCTGTCAGAAAAAATCTGTTTCTCCAAGCTGAGGTTGTCCAGCGAGCTATCTACAACAGGTAGGATACTCGCTGCTCATAACCATTTCCCAGAAACATACATCCAAAGAAACTATTGCCACCTCTTTGGTTTACCACCAGTAAGTTTTCACACTGGTTCTCTAAATCTTCTCCATTACACTTTTGTTGGAGCAGCATAGTGATTTCTCTGAATTACTCATACTTTGGATATCTTGGCTGTTTACCTTTACATCATGGATTAGTTTATGATGGTTCCCTTTTTTATTAATAATTGTCCTGTAGGATTCTGGTAGTTGAAGGTTGTTGTGTTTTTGCCATTGTAAGCTAACAGGGTGGTTGTCTTGTAGCTTATAGACTAAGTTGTAATAAATGTTGGCAGGAGCTCCAAACGGGTGTTTTCGGTTTCGGTGTACCGTTTTAAACAATCATTTATCATTTTCCAAGCAGGAAGAGTCGATGAAAACCTGCACTGACAGGTTGCATTATGGGAAATGTTGGAACCAGAATGCTTGGGGGCTCTCAGGAGCTAGAGAAGATATATATTTTATAAACATGCCTGAATAAGTCTGATAAAGTTCGTTGTGCCGGAAGTGACCAGTGGCTCTTTAACGGAGCAGCCCTGCCGGTGTACCGGTGATAAGCTCCCGCTGCGAACAGGGGCAGAGATTCGGTATTCATGTTCAGGGGCGGCTCCTGTGTTAGCAGGCTGAGCAGCAAAGTCAAGCCAACAGCAAGGCGGGTAAACCGCTGCGTTCTTCCCCGTTCAAACTACGAGCAGCCGCTGTTCGCGAACACCGAGCCGGGAAGCGATGGAAAGGGCAGAATAAGCGGAAAGTACGTGCCCCGTCGCCACTGCGACACAAGAGGAAGGATTCAACGTGCTGCGAGTGAAGGTGGAAAGCGGCAAACTTTTTTATCTGTGTCTACCAGCCAGTGTGTGGATGGGGGATGGGCCCAGGGCTCGGGTACAACAGCAGCAGCAGCACATCCTCACCAACTCCCTAATGGCTGGGTGAAGAAACTACCGGCTGCGCCAGCGAAACAATAGCCTCAGTTTAACTCAGCAGAGGTAAGACGAACAGAAAAGCCGGTCCGGGGCCATTAAGTCGGCAAAAACAGGAACAAACTCCGTCCGTGAGTTGTAATCCTCATGTTACCTGTTAGGGACCGAGGACGTTCGCTGCTAAATTAGCACTAACCTGTACTGAAGAGGCAGAAGGTGCGCTTTGAACGAGCCGGCCTTTCTTCAGAATTAAAAGAGTTGTGTTACACACGATTATTTTTTTCAATACAACTTTTAATTGAATGATTGTTTACTGACAGCCTCACCTTTACCTCTTTAGCAAACACCTGTCATTCCCTGGCAGGAGTTTAATAAAACTGGCTTATAATAACACCTATTTGTTTGGGTGTGGGAGTCATGAAGCAGGTTAACGTGTTTTTGTCCACTTCTGTTACCTTAACCTGTAAGTGGGGGGAGAGAAGTGTGGTCAAACAGGTGTGTGTGTGTGTGTGTGTGTGTGTGTGTGTGTGTGTGTGTGTGTGTGTGTGTGTGTGTGTGTGTGTGTGTGTGTGTGTGTGTGTGTGTGTGTGTGTGTGTGTGTGTGTGTGTGAGCACGGTGTTTTCACCTCACCTGTGTGGGCTCCTGACATGTGTGCCACAGCTTTACTTCATCCACTAACCACTGGTCGGTGTTTCAGGCTGACGGGGGCAAAGTTCACATGTTGCTCAGCTTTTGTATTTTTCCAGGTACATTCAACAAAATGGCTCCACCAGCTTGACTGTGCCTTAGCCTCCTCAACACATTCATATTTCTGAGTAAATCTTTGTGTGTGTGTGTGTGTATGTGTGCATGACACGGTAATGCTATAACGACACTGGAGAGGATATTGTAAGCTTTGGTTGGACTATGACAGGAATGTGAAGAGGCATAAGTTACAGCATGTTCTCAATCCATACCTCTTTCTCATTAAGTAGCACGATCCTTAAAATGTACAATGATGATTCAAGGACTCTGGAAAAAGATGTGAAACACGATATTTGAATTGGATAGGGCTCGTGCTAAAAACAGGTTAATGCAATCAGGGTTATGATCCAGCCTCTAAAGGCAGATGGGAAGTTGTCATACTTGGCCCTGGTGAGTTCATGTCATCTAGCACGCCAAATTATTCAAGCAGAATCTTGAATAATTATGAGGTTAGTTACAGGGAATCTTTTGTTTTCGACAACAAATCTCACTTTCAGCCCTCTGCCTCTGTTGTCACTCAGTGAAAGACACTTATCAGTCACTGTATGGTCTTTGACTACTAAACTCACAAGTCAAGTACTCGCAAATGATTGACTTCCTGCATCCCCTCTGGTGACCTGAGATCTGAAGCCAGTAATCAGCGGGCATGTTCGTTAGAGTTAGGAGCAGGAGGAGGCCCCCCAAATGAGCTGGACGAGTCAGTCGGAGGAGGGTGGAGGATGAGTGCATGCCAGGCTAAACTGCCTGGAGTTTTCTCAGAGGCCGAGGCCTGGGCATCAATAGACCTTTGATCAAAGGCCAGCTCTGAAAACGACAAGAAGCCACAATAGCATAAACGGCTTCAGCGGGAGGCCTGTCTCTCTTTCTCC